AATATTAGTTACACCTTTATTTCTTTTGCTGCTGGTCTTTTTTCAGGATCACCAATAATCATCAATATCAAATTTGGTTAACACCGTACATTTCCCGCACTGAATTACAAAAACTTTTAGTATTATTAATTAATACTTCTTCTTGTCCATTCTGCAGTATAAGTTAATTTGTTACTTTTTTAAATTGCCCAAAAGGTATCCATTCTACAATCAAGTTTGGAAAAGATGATTTCATTTGACACTGTTGAATAAAGTTATCAATTATGTTATTTCCGGATGTCCAAGCAGTGAAAAGACTCTGTAATTGTAAACTAATACAACTTTCACATAATCTATCAAAGTGTTTTATTGATTTACACTTGTTACATTCTTTTGGTTTGCCTTCTTTATAAATTACATTTATTAATTCAAACTCATAAATAAACTTTTCTTACAAAATTCTTTTTCATTTTCAGAATGCTCCTTGTTTTTTTTTTGACTAATGAAAAAAATAATCTTTTCTACAGAGTCAACCAATGCAATATTATATACATTACAGCATTAATTTTATATACAAATTACTTTCTTTCGGGTGATATTTGTTTAACATGACATGACATTGTATAAAAATAAATATAAAATTCGACTTGTGTTTTAATGAATGTGGAGATGTTTTGAGAATAACTGTTACATTATTTCTTTTGAATGACGTGTTGCAAACAATTCTAACAGGATCAATTGATAAGGATGTAAGTTGAAAAACGAAAATTGCATTATTTAAAGAACAACTTCTTCTTCACTAAACTTTAGTGATTGATTTATCATGATTCAACAATAAAAGAATTTCAGCATTCTTTGGAGATTTAAAATAGAAAGAAAAATTAAAACTTACAAAACCTGACTTATGTGCTATGTAAAGGTCCAAGTACCAATATTGATCAACATACAGCATGTTGCTTCAAACTCAGACATTAAAGTCAGCTCAAGCACATTATTAATATTATTTGCGTATTACTATTATGCGCAATTAACTTCAAAGTCAAAAATTTGAATTTGACACAACTCATATATGTATGTAAAGACAATTTGATTTTATGAAATAATTTGTAAAAAAGAAGAAGATTTTATTTTGAAGAAAATACACAGAAAACTTCCCATGATTATTATTATTTTTGCATCATTGTAATATACATACAATGATATAATGATTCTTTATTCATCCCTGGGATACACATTTTATCATTACCATTATTGCTGCTTATATCAAGCATTTTACTTACGTCAAGTGTTTTTAATTATGTCAAGTGTTTTTAATTATGTCAAGGGCTTTACTTTAGTCAAATCATCAAAAATGGCCTTATCGAGAAATTATCTTCAGCCGATACTTTAGTTATGTCAATGACTAAAGTCAAAGATTCATCATACATCATTGGTGGCAGTGAATAAAATGGATTGATACACACCTTCTTTAAAGTTAAAAGTTTTTATCAAAAAATCAACAACTTGTTTAGTACTTGAAATTATTATTGCCACTTTACACCGCCCTTGAAACTCAGCAATGAAGCTCCATATAGAATTGGGTTTATTCTACATATAGAAGAAACTTCCAAATAAAGAAAAAGGAGAATTTTAAAAGAATCATCAAAGCCTTTGCCCACTCTGGATGGTTTCGAGGGGTTCAATCAGCTTTAGGATAATTAATAAATGTGACCTAAAAATAAAAATATGAATATCAAATTTTTTGTTGTTGCTTCCTAAAGAATTGTCAAAGTATATAATCCTCTTTATACAACTTAATGTCATATTGACATTGGAATTAAAATTACACATAAAAATACATGTAAAAAAAATTCATATCAAAGGAATGGTAGTTAATACAAGTAAAAAAAAGTTAAAAATTATATGATACAATAGACCACTAATAACAAAAAAATGGAAAAAATATGATAAAAATGACAAAAACAACAATTACATTAGTAGTAAAAAAAAAAAAAAAAAAAAAAAAAAGCAATTAAAATTTTTATAATAATAATAGCAAGTCATATCATTTCTCAAATATTAAATTTAACATTCTTCTCATCTTCTAACACAAGATCAAAGCCAGAAGATATTCCAACACTACTGCTTACTACTAATAATGCTGGAATAGATTCTAGAGAGATGTTGTTGCCATTTCTAATGCCATCATCAATCACTACTAATAATGATGTAGGAACAATGATATTGGCAATTGAAAGATTACCTGGCCCAAAATATTGTATCATTGATCTTGTCAAGAGAAAAAGTTCATCAAAAAAAAAAAAAAAAATCAATCAATCAATTAATACTGATGATGATACTTGTGCTTCAAAAGTAATTGAAAGACATTTGATCAGAAATAATCTTACTGGAAATATTATAAATTCATACAAAAAAAAAAAATTGACATTTTGAAACTATTAGGCCATGTAAATATTGTTAAGGTAATTGATGAATATTTGTTAAATAAAATGTAATAGTGATTATTCAAAATATCCGCAATAGGACCCGGATTATTATAATCGAGGTAATATCCAGGCTATTAGCATTAGTAAATTTTAGAAATTTTAAGCATGTAACATTTTTTCTCCTTTGCCCATTTTTAGCATATGTCAAAAAATTAAAAGCTCTACCCATATAAAACATGCAACCATTGAAAAAACCATCCAATATATTTCTATCTAAAGAACTAAAGAAATCATATTAATATAGTTGTTGATTTTTAATAAACTCATATCTTAAAATAAAACAAATATTTTTAATTTGGGGCATGCTGCAACAAAACCAGACAAAGTGAACATTGGTATTACCAAGGATTTCAGGGATCAATAGTGTTTGTTTAATATCACAATTGTATTACAATGTAATGTGATCATGATATTTGTCTA